AAAAAAAAAAAAAAAAAAAAACTGGCCTATAATCACATCAGGTAACCAATGGAAAAACTATCTCCTTAAATTGAAACTCTGGGTGACTAGGGAGACGGCTCAGTGATTAAAAGCACTTGTTACTTTTCCAGAGGATCTGAGTTCCGCTGTATCATGCAGCAGTTCCATGGGATCCCACACTCTGCCTTATGGACACAGGGACTGATACAGTTTTTAAAATGAAATGAAATCCTTCTTTGCTCATTCAGCATGTTAAGTTTCTTTGGTCCATATGATTAACCACACTGATCTGCCTATATAAAAAAACAAGTGCATTTAGGCTAGGAGTAATATTTAGGTTTAGGACCTCAGCTAACTGGACTATGTGGCTCTGGGGAGAAAATCTGATACTCCTTTGAATGTGGAGAATGCTTAAAAAAAAAATTAGCCTAGCCAAAGGCAGAGCCCTAATATAGTTAGGGAAATATGAGAAAGGCTTCAGCTGAGAAAATACAGAGTCAAGCACAAAAGCCCTTGCATGCCAGGGAAAGAAACTGAGTCTTGAATCTACAGATAATTTCTATAGACAATATAGGTAGGCACCATTTCTTTTCTCCATAGGAAAGTATATAGTTTGGCTGAACATCAGAAAGCTTTCTAAGTTTACAATGCACTTAGAAGCAGGGTGGTGGGTGGCAGAAGGTGGATTTGAGTTCAAGGCCAGTCTAGTCTACAGAACAAGTTCTAGGACAGCCAGGGCTACACAAAGAAACCTTATCTCAAAAACAAACAAAAACAAAAACAGACAAAACAAACAAACAAAAAAACAAAAAGAGGCACTTAAAAACTAAAGGTGCCTGGCAAGTTGAAAATCAAAATTATCTAGACATTATTTGAAAACTACAGGGGGCTAGTGAGATGGCTCAGCCGTTAGGAGCACTGGCTGCTCTTCCATGAGGGCCCAGATTCAATTCCCAGCGCCCACATGGCAGTTCACAACTGTCTATAACTCCTGTTCCAGGGGATTTAACATAACACTCTCACACAGATATACATGCAGGGAAAACACCAATATACATAAAATAAAAATAATTTTTTTTTAAAAAAGAAAGAAACCTACAGATTTCTGGGCCCTCACTCCAAGGTGTTAGGACTAGAGTTCAGTTCTCAGCACCCATTCCAGGTGGCTCACAAGTGCCAATAACTCCAGCTCCAGGGAATCCGACACCTGCTTCTGGCCTGTGGGCACCATTTATTTATATGGCACATGTAGGCTCCCATATGCAGCTCAGTTGGCAGAGTGCTGCCGAAAGCACTGGCCAGTACTGCACACCTGTAATCTCAGCACTCTCTAGGTAGAGGCAAAAGGATCAGGCTTGTCATCCTTGACAACACACCATGAGTTCAAAGTGAGCCTGAGTTACTTGAGACCAAAGTAAGAGTGAGTCAGTCAATCTCTCTCGCTCTCTGCATGTAATTTTGAAAAGAGAAAGAAGTAATTCTCTATTTTCTTCTGTAGAAACAGTTCATGACCAAGTATGGTGGTGTACACCTTTAATCCTAGCACTTCAAAGGCAGAGGCCAGCCTGGTCTATATAGAGTTCCAGGTAGGCGGGGGTACATATGTAGACAGTTTCAAAAAAGAAAAGGGGTAAGAAAAAGAATCAGGAAACTGGGGCAGGAGAGATGGCTCAGAGGTTAATAGCACTGGCTGTTCTTCCAGGTCCTGAGTTCAATTCCCAGCAACCACATGGTTCAAAACCATCAGTAATGAGATCTGGTGCCCTCTTCTGGCCTGCAGGCACACATGCAGACAGAACACTGTATACAACATAAATAAATAAATCTTAAAAGAATCAGGAAACTGAACTTTTTAGTATTGGAAAAGTGAGTAACAAGAAGGCCACATCAAATGAATGACACTTGAGACAAATGGCTGGCCATT